CAAGAGAGGAAATACCTTGCGTTTGTTTCCAGGGCCAGAAGGGTCCATGACAAATCTTCACCTGCAGGCCGATTCCTCCATGACTTGCAGCTGGACCATCGAAGCTGATGTTCAGAGAGTCAAGCACTTGCTTCAGGGTGAGCCTGAGTGAAAGAGAAGAATGATAAACCTGTCACAAGGAAAATTCAAAGGTGGCAATAAATGGCAAGGCTCAGGCTCTTGTTCCTACAAAGACACCAAGAAGAGCCTCTGAGGACCCTTGGCTTGCCCTGGACACACCTCTGGGCTGGAGCTGCCACTCAGTGGGAGAGCACGTGCCCAGCATGCACAAGGCCCTGGGTTCTATCCCCAACTCCAGAAAAGGAAGAGTTACATGAAGCCCTTGGAAACCCCAGGACCCTCAGGATAAAGGAGTGCTGTGCTTTCCAAAGGTTTGGGAAGGCTTACCAGCTCCAGCCACCCCTTTCCTGGGGCAGTCCTGATTTGGAGGTAACAGAGATGTTCTAAACCTCCTTGTATAATCTGGCTTTACAAGTGCAAAGGCTCCACAGAGATGTTACAAGAGGAACAAAGCCTCAGGGCCAAGCGGGGCTGGCGCTCAGGCATCTTGGCTGGCTCCATCAAGCTGCTCCTCACTTGCCCTCCCCCTGCCTCTGCTTATTCACCTCTTCCAATGCCTCAGTGGCCACCTCACCCCACTGGGATCTCAGCAGAGGCTTCAAGCCTCAGGCCAGCCCTCCAATCACACCTTCTCTTGGTCAGAGGAGGCAGAACAGGTTCCTGTGTGTTTATCTATCTCCCTGGCAACACAGGCCTCCACAGGAGGGTGTCATCCAGGTATCTGTGGGTTTATGTTTCCTGCCTCTCCTTAGGTGTGTTCTGGCTTTCTGAGGCTGTACCAATCTACTCCGTTTCTGCATGGCTAGCTGACCCCCTACCCTACCATGAATCATAATTGGCAAATTCCAAACTCTGTGCAGCTGACAGAGAGAAATTATGTTTCTCACACTCCCTCTAACCAGAAGGCTCCCAGGCCTACCCATGATCCCCTGCCTACCCATCCCTCTGCACAGCAGTCCAAGTCCTCGTCAAGCCGGAGTGGTGCCACCCTGACCCTCCCATCCTCCAGGTGCACACACATTCCTGCCTCTGGCCTGCGTGTGCTGTTCCCTTTCCACAGACTCTGCATTAAAGATGTTGCATTTCATGTTCTGCTCAACTAGAACATTCGTTTCAGGCCACTTTTTAAAAAGTGCAGCTCCTTCATCAACTCCTGCCAATCTATTCTGTGGTGTGAGTGCTGCCTCTGATCTGCCTTGCCAAGAAGGCAGCCACTCATATGGCCTGCATCACCAGGTCTCAAGTCCCTGTCAAAGACCCTGAAACACGTGGGGTAGAGGGCAGGATTGGTCCCTCCACACAGGCTTGCAGTGCCTGCCTGGCCTCTGGGAGGGCTCTGCTGCACACTTCCTGTTCCCCATGTTGCTAACCCAGACTTTGCACACTACCCTTGTGGCTCTTTTTTTTGCTTGTCTCCCCATTCTCCAGTTATCCAGCACCATGAACAGTCCTGCTTTCTTTCCAAGGCTCACTGCCTGACAGACACTCCATGTGTGTTTTGAGCCATCCATCCCCAGACACTTGTAAGTGCCAGGAAGGCAGAGGCCTAGGTTCACTCTGTGCTGTTTGCCAGGATCTCTATCCATATGGTCTCTATCCAAACGCTCAGAGGCTGTTTGTCAAATGAGCGAGTAGAGATGGGAATGGTAAAATGGGGGAGAAGCCGAAAGACTGCAAGAGAAGCAAATGTCAGACGTGTAGACCCAGGCACTGAGTGAAGGCCTTCTCTGTGCAGGGTGGGAAGACCCTGTCTGGCATGCCCCTCACACACATACAACCTACAGAGGTCTTAGTTTTGTTCTGTGTGTCTTGTTTTGTGTGAATGAATTCCCTAGAGGCAGGAAGTGTATCTGTCTTGTTCAGCACAGTATCCTTACAGCTGGTGCAGTGCCTGGCATGCACAGAAGGCTCTAGATCTCTATGTGCTAAATGAATGAGTGATGAGTGGAGGATGAGTGACCCAAAAGAACACAGAGCTGGCAGGGGCCTCCCTGGCACTTGGGGCAGTTTAGACTCAGGGTGGAGGATCTCTGGAGGGCCTGCAGTCTTACTGCAAGGACAAGAATGGGGGACGAAGACTGAGAAGAGCAGGGAGCCCCAAACATTAGGGGGAGGCAGAGTGGTGACTGTCTAAATGTAAATGAACAAGAAGACCCTAGTGTGGTCTACCTAGAGGACTTGGAAATGAGTCCATGCTGTCCGGCCTGCGCCCTGCCCCAAAGTCAGCAACCAGGGCTGCCTGCTCTCAGTGCTGGTTTCCAACCTCTGCAAAGTGGGTGTGGTTGGAGAGAAAGGTTAAGTCTGATCCGGTAACTGTATAACCACCTTTAATTCCAGCACCAGGGGTAGAGAAGCAGCCAGAGAGGGCTCTGGGGTAAAGAATGATGACTGCTCTTCCTGGGAACTTGAGATGGGCTCCCAGCACCCATATTTGACAGCTCACAGTTTCTTTTTTGGTTTTTCCAGATAGGATTTCTTAAGACAATGTTTCACTGTGCAGCCCTGGCTGTCCTGGAACTCAGTAGACCAGGCTGTCCTCAAACTCAGAGTGTGCACCACCACACAACTCACAATTCCTTATAACTCCAACTCCCAGGGATCCAGTGCACTCTTCTAGACTCCAAAGGAAACTGCCCTTTGATTCTAGCCCTCAGGAGGCAGAGCTGAGTTTAAAGCTTGGTCTACTTAGGAGTTTGAGGCCAGTCAGGGACACACAGTGAGTCTCCCTCTTTCTTTCACACATACACAGCATGGAAGGAAATAGATGAAATAGAACTGATAAGATGTTGGGAGTTTTGTGTTTGAAATTTATAATAAGATGGGCCTGTGAGCATTGCTACCCAGGAGGCCTGTGCACAAGTGGTGATCACAGGCCTGCCTTCTTTCTCTTTCTTTCTTTACTTCCTTCCTTCCTTTTTTTTTGGGGGGGGGTGAGTTTGAGACAGGGTTTCTCTGTGTAGCTTTGGAGCCTATCCTGGCACTTGCTCTGGAGACCAGCTGGCCTCGAACTCACAGAGATCTGCATGCCTCTGCCTCCCAAGTGCTGGGATTAAAGGCATGCGCCACCAACGCCTGGCTTCCTTCCTTTCTTTTTCTCCTTCCTTGTTTATTTTCGTTCTTTTGAAACAAGGCCTCACTATGTAGCTCTGGCTATTCTGGACTCATTATGTAAACAAAGCTGGTCCCAAACTCAGAGAACTACCTGCCCCTGCCTCCCGAGTGCTGGGATTAAAGGTGTGCACTATTATGCCAGGCTCCCAGGCTTATTTCTAATAGCTTTCAGAAGAAGAGAGAGTCCACATGCCAAGCAGCATGTGGATTGTGAGACAGACTGTTAAACTCTGGCACAGCTATACCATGAAAAGTCACTGTGCAACGGAAGGAAACCAACTAAACTGGGCATGGTGGCACATGCCTTAATCCCAGCACTTGGAGGCTGGGGGAAATCTCTTTTGAGTTTGAGGCCAGCCTGCTCTAAAGGATGAGTTTCAGGTCAGACATGGCTAACCAATTGAGAGCCTGTCTCAAAAACAAAAACAGGGGGCTGGAGAGATGGCTCAGAGGTTAAGAGCACTGTCTGCTCTTCCAGAGGTCCTGAGTTCAATTCCCTGCAACCACATGGTGGCTCACAACCATCTGTAATGAGATCGGGTGCCCTCTTCTAGCCTGCAGGGATACATGCAGACATGAAACTGTACCTAAAAAATAAATAAATCTTAAAAAAAAAAACAAAAAATGAAAACGAAGTAAAAACAGACTAATGACACAACCACCTAAATAGGTCTCCAGAGGCCTATGTAGAGTGAAAAAAGTCAACGGCCTCAAAAGGTGACTTAATAATTTCATTGATGTGACATTAAATCTTAGAGATGGGGGACTGAGCACCAATGGCAGAGTCATGAGAGCAGATGCGTGTGGTTATAAAGAGAAGCACAGTGAATGTGATGAGGTCACTGTGCTACCTTTGTGGTTACATAACCCTGCATGACAACACTGCTAGAAGGACGTGTGTCAGTGCAGATGCGTGCACACACATACACACATACCCACACACACCCTTCTCTAACACACATAGACATGAATGCACACATGCACACAATGCTATCTGCGTGAGCTCAGGGGACCTTATCACTGCCAACACTGACTATGACATGGCAGTACTAACGAAGACATGATGGAGGGCAAGTGTGCGGAGCTGAGACACAATGGACTTCCATGTACATTTACTATGTAGCCATGGAAGGCCTTGAACTCCTGACCTCCATGCCTCCACCTCTGAAATGCTGGGATTACAGGCGGCCTGTCTACTGTAATTCCTTCAAAAGGAAAATTCAAAGATTCATCACAGATATACACTGACACATTGACAGAGTAAGGGATGCAGGACTGAAATTAAAAGAAACAAACAAACCCACTGCAGATGTCTAGGGTCTAGATGAGGGGCAGAGCGTGCACACAGGTGCTCACAAACTAAGCACAAGCTGTCTGTGCCCTAGCACCTGAACACAACAACAGAAACTTCACAGGAAGAAGAACTAGAGGAAAATAGATAAAACAGACATGACAAAATGCTAAGTTCTGAAGTTGGGTGAGGAATCTTTCTTTTTTTCCCCCTATAGATATTTTTCCTGAGAGTGGAAGACTCTTTAGGGTTTTATACACTTTCTAATTTGGGGCAGTTGAGGCAAAAGACTTGTCAAATTCAAGGTATGCCTGGACTGCAGAGTGAGTTCAAGGCCAACCTGGGCAAATTAGAAATTAGTAAGCCCTTGTCTCAAAACTAAAAGTTAAAAAAAAAAAGCTAGTTTTATACCCAAGAAAAGCAGTGTATAGTACTTATTTACCTGTCATTTGAAAGGCCCTAGGTTCAGATAATTTACTAAGATTTATTATGAATTTTATTACAGGCTTTCATAAATGACACTTTATTTTTCCTCTAAGAAGCCTCTCCCAACTTATAAAAAATAGAAATATATAGATACACATTGAGAATTCTATGCCTCAACACAACATCAGTCAGGTCAAATCACAGTGTTGCGGTTGAGGTCAGGGCAGCAGGAGCCCCTCCTACCCCCACCTCCCACTACATGTCCAACAGGCGTTGGCTTCAGACAGTGACAATGGTACAGAAGTGTGGGAACTAGAAGGAGCAGGAAGAGCAAGGTGTGGCAGCTCCTATCTGACCTTGGGACTGGGTTTCAGATGATGGGCCATGAGCTGCGAAGTATATCACAAAGTCTCACAATCCAGTCGTGTCGGTCTTGTTCTGACCTGGAAGTTCTGAGTCACTATGAAAATACTCCTGTTTGGTTCAGGGCCCAGAAATCTCACTTTCTCACCACTTCGTGTCCTTTCATCAATTCCAGACTGAGCTTTTTTTCCTCCAGGCAAAAGGACCAAAGACTCCAGAGTAGAGCGAGGAAGGTGCTGGGAGCCAGGTCTCACACCTTAATCGCAGCATGCGGCAGGAAGACCACTGAGCCTGGGATACACAGTGAGCTCTGGGATAGCCTGGGCTATAGACCAAGATCCTTTCTCAAAAACACACATGGTGTCGGGTGACAGAGTGAAAAAGCAGCAGCCACCAAGGTGGAGTATGGAGAGAAATATTAAACACAGGCTCAGAGTTCCAATCCAAGGAAGGACTTAGCCACTTCATGTCAATTTCCACATGTCCATCCATTCTTCCTGGGATTTGGTTTTCCAACACCACTTTCCAAAACCAGGCAAGGACAGCAACTTGCACAGTGTGTTCCTTGAGGCATGTTACATGATTAGTGGGGAAAGTGAAGGATGGCGTCTTCTTCCCGGGAGGTGCAGGTGGACGGGGCAGACTCGCTTCTTGACATGTCTGGTCTCAGCAGGACCCTCTCAGCCCACTTCCTCTGGTGTAGACTGTGGCATTCCACCATCAGCTGTATTTCTCAGCTAAGCCTAGCCCTCAAAACAAGCCCACCCCCACCTGCTAAGTCCTCTTCCTGGTGCTTAAAGTCCATGGCTCCTCTATCAGTCCCAGGAGAACTAACCACACCCCAGGCTCTGGTCAGACCATCATTCCCAGAAGACACATGTTCCAAAGGGGATGACCCCCACTGTGGCCAGCTTTAATGAAATGCTGGTCAGAGATTCAAGGCTACTCTGATGGCCACTGTCATCTTCATTAAGACATGCACTTCTAGCTGCTGCCAGCACCAGATCAAAGCTGCAGTGTGGGCCTGTTTCTAGCACAATGAGGGTTACACAGTCACTTTCCAACAGCTCCGCAGGGATCTTGGAGCCCAGGTGCAGAGAGAAGTGAGATGAGGCTCTGGGCTGGTAAATCAATGCCATGATTCTTGTGAGTCAATGCAGGGGATCCAGGTGGCCTGGAAGATATACTTGGCAGTCTTCCTGGCAGGGCTCAAAGCAGTGGACCCTTTTTTTCCTGCCACTTTCCCTGGCCCTCCAGGTTTCAAAGGAATCAAGTCCTGTGATTAATCAATGAAGTTGTCAGCAGCCCCTGGCCTGTTTGCAAAACAGGATGTCTTCAGAGAAGGCTGCTACTAAAATGATATGGCCTGGGCAAGGGCAAAAGGATGTCACCTTCTTCTTCCCTCTGATTTCACGCCCCCAGGAAAGCGGCGTCCTCTCCCTTACAGGGCAGTTTCCATCTCAGCTCAAGAGAGGGACCTGGAAAGGAGAAGAACCAGAGAGCCTACCAGGGGGCCTCTTGCTCTCCTGGGAGGGAGCAGCTCTAGGGCTGGCAGGGTGGTCTTGGCTGCAGGACACAGGCACTGAAGTGCAGCAAGTACATATGGGAGCCAAGGAGGAGAGGCAGAGGAAGATGACTTCCTCTTGCCCAAGTAATGCATGCCAAGCTTGCACCCACTGGTGAGCCTGTTCCTGCCAAGAACCAACAAGCAGCTGGGGCAGGCCTGGACCCCAGCCTCCAACTCACTTCTTCCTGCGGATCTTGGGCTTCTTCACAGGGCGCAGGTAGGGGTTATCAATGACATTCTCCTCCCCGTTCCGGCTCCCAGACAAGGAGGAGTTCTGCTGCAGTACAGAAGCGTTCTCCTTCTCAGCTCCAGAGTCACCCTTTGAGTAAAAGCCGAAATAAAGCAGAGCGCCAGTGGTGTGAGGAGACACTGCCCACAGCCACAGCCGCCAGTGGTGTGAAGAGAGAGACTGCACTGTCACAGCCACGGCCACCAGTGGTGTGAAGAGAGAGAGACTGCACTGCCACAGCCACAGCCGCCAGTGGTGTGAAGAGACTGCACTGCCCACAGCCACAAGTGGTCTCTTTATTGAGAAAGGAGAAGATGGAGCCACTGTCTTTCCAGGGTCACCATCTCATCCGCAGACTCAATGAGACCTGGGGAGTAATTAGCTCTAAAGGGAGCTTTGACAAAGTGAAAGACTCCAGGGTCCTTAGTCTCTTCAGAAGGTGGGGGGCGTGAAGTTGGAGTGAGGGTTAGAATTTATATGCTTCAGGGAGGAAGCCTAACGCAACAGGGTGACAAAAGGAAGTGGCCATGGGTATTGTGGAGTAAGAGACACAGGGTCAGAACCAATCAGGGAACAGAATAGGTCTCTTCTAGGCCCAAACTAGTGTAAGTCCTAACACATTTATCCAAAATCTCTCATTTCTTGCACTTAGAACAAGGACAAATAACCATATTCCAGCATATTCCAGAACTTCTGGAATTCTGAAGTGAAGCCCAGCAAGGCAAAGCAGAGTCTGCAGATACCACACGTACATATTGTCAATGCCTGTCACCTGTCAATCGGGCGCTTTATTAATTTTTAGCAAAGTTTGATTTTGGACCATATATATATATATATAATTTAAATTTAGAAAGTGTCCTGGATGCATGGGTAATTGACTTTCCTTTCCTTATTAATGTTTATACTCTCCTTTATTTTCCATATATATATTTTTTTTTGGTTTTTCGAGACAGGGTTTCTCTGTGTAGCTTTGGAGCCTATCCTGGCACTCGCTCTGGAGACCAGGCTGGCTGCATATTCTTTGTTTTTAATTTATTTTTGTTCTTTAAAGTGAGCAGTGGCAGCAGAGTCATTCAGGCAGGCCTAGCCGAGAAGCTGACCTGGCAGCGCCCCCTGGTGGCTCACCAAGGGTTCCCTGGAAGGACTGAGTTGTCTTCTCCAATAGGTTTAAAGGAGGCCTCGGACCCCAACCAGCAGTGGCTGCTGTCACTGTGATACTCTGAGAATTCCTCTCAAGGGACAGTTGGCCTGGGGTGAGGACACCAGCCTCTGGCTTGCTGGCCTGAAGACTCTGGGTGGCTCCTAGGTTGGCTACATACCCACAATATCCATTAACTCTGTTCCCCCCCAAAGCCACTTTCCTGTAGAGTACATGTGCTTGATTCTTCCTGCATTAAACCCGATGAGTAGACCTACAGCCATTGAGTCCCTCTTCAAAACAACTGCCACAAGACCAGCTGTGCTCACGTGGGGCCAGGTAAGGGGGAGGTCTGTGTGGACACCCAGCTACTGGGCTGCCTGAGTTCTTTGTTTGTTTTTGTTTTTCGAGACAGGGTTTCTCTGTGTAGCTTTGGAGCCTATCCTGGCACTCACTCTATAGATCAGGCTGGCCTTGAACTCACAGAGATCCGCCTGCCTCTGCTTCCCAAGTTCCAGGACAGGTTCCAAAGCTACAGAGAAACCCTGTGTCACAAAAACAAAAACAAGACAAAAAAGGGGGGGTGTCACAAGCTCCTTGGGCCACTTGGGCAAGGCAGGAGGACACGAACAACCCCTACCTATCTGCTTCCATGCCAAAGGTTACAAGTCTGACCCTAACCCTGTGCTCTCTCTCACCACCAGTTCAAACTCCCATCTGCTTGCTTGACAGCTTCATATAAGCATTCCATAGGCACCTCATATTCAATGTGCCTCAGCTTCCCCCTCACAACCCTCCCCTCCCCTCCCCCGTCCTCCCACTGTGGTGACAGAACTACCATCCTTCAGGTGCTCTGAGCCAGTGACATCTCCACTGCCCCTATTGTGAGCGCCCGAGGAGGAGGAGCCACATCTATCCCTGGCCAATGTGACTGTGACAGCTTCCCAACAGTACCATCCCTCTTGGGCCCACTCTTACCACAGCGATCAATGATGCTTCCAGAAGTTCAGAAATGTCCCTTCCTTGGCTCCATGCCCTCCTGTAACTCCGGCTCACCCAGCTCTTCAAACAACTGGTACCACCAGATTGGCCCTTCTCTGGCTCTCCATGCCAAACACTGGTGTTTCTCAGGCCCTCTGCACCAGCCATTACTTCTACAAGGACTCTTTCCCAGAGAGTGGCACAGCTCATCTGTCCTCCCCACTTCTAGTCCCTTGCTTGGTGGTCCACCTTCAGTGTCCTATTACTGAGAGGCAAAGCCTCCACCTCACTGTGCTCTGCTCTGTCCCAGCACTTTCATCCTGAACATAGATGACTTTACAGACCACATTTAAATCCATTCTCCCACTGTAAATATTGGCTCTCAGAGGCAGAGGTTTTATCTGCTGGGGTGTTTGTTTTCCTCTAAGCAGCCAGAATAGTATCTGACAATGGTCACTGAAAAACAGGGGCTCACTGAGTAGATGATTGTGCGGCTTCTCATCAAAGAGTAAAAGTTAAACTTCTGGGTTGCTTGCACCAGAGAGCTAGCTCAAATGTATGAGAAAACAAAAACCAAACTATTAACCACTCTAAAAATAATGGTTCCTTTATGTTCAAGGACATGGAGAAGAGGTCAGGGTTAAAGAGTTCCATAGCAACAGATCCTGAAAGACACACTGTCGCCAGGAGATAAAAGGACACCTTAAAATTGGTCATTGAGTGAAGTGTGAACACATGGTAACAAGTCCAAATAACTGTCTTTTTTTAGTGTACTTTGTGTAAAATAATGTATGGCTATACAGCCTGAAACAGCGGAAGGTACCACAAGTTAGCTCGCTCTACCTCAGGCTGGCCTTGCAGGTGCTATGACCACTGCCTGGAAAGTCCACCCTGAGACACATGATCAAATATTACATTCTACATTCTCCCATCCCTTCCATGGGTCCTTCTGGGACCTCTTTAACTCCCTGAGGGTGGGGCTTTGTCAGTCTTGCTTTCTACTAGATTCCCAGACCTGGAATGGCATCTGGACCCACAATGCTCATCAGCTGCTAAATGAGACTCCCCAGAATTTGTCTCTGGATGAAGACTAGTCACACAGGCCCATCATGCAAGCTTCTAACAGACAGCCAGAGTACCTGGGTAGGCCCTGTTCAGTTCCCAGGGCAGGGTCCTAGTGTGGGAAAAGCTGTTTCAGGATGTGTGAGGCAGGCAGAAGAGGAGAACCCACCGTGCTGATATGAAGAGCGATGTTCTCTGTGTCTGTCTGCTCATCCTGTTCTGAGGAGTCTGTCTCTTCCATCTGCTGGATCTCCAGCTCAGAGGGAAGCAAGGCTGTGAGGTAGGGGATGGTGAAAGGTCTGGCAGCAATCACTGGGAATTGGAAGAGAGACACGACTCTGTCGAGCAGCCAGAGGGAGCCAGGTATGAATGTTGCCCAGTTACCATAACCTCAAGCTAGATAATTTCCCTTTCCCACAAGCCTCTGTGTGGCAAAGCTAAGGACTGCTAACTTACAGGTCTGGATGGCTGCCTGAGGTGATGTGTGGGGAATGGCTAGCAGGCACCGAGTGGACACTCACTAAGTGAACAGACCAAGCTCCCCCATTCAACTCTGCATAACCCAAGGTCCCCTATGGAGACGAGTGACTTGGTCAACAAAGCCTAAATGAGATGTAGCCTAGAAAAGGACACTGGTAAGCAACTGGCTACAGATGCCAGCGTTCCTCCTACTACCTGGGTCACCACTTCCACAGGAGACTTTGCTGCCCAGGGCTCAGCCACCAGTGAGGTAACCTAAACTCACTGCCTTGAGCAGCCTTTCCATTTGGAGTCATCCTTTAGGAAGAGTCTCTCAGAGCTTGGAGGAAGGATCTAGAGAAGAAACTGCACTAGAGAAAAACACAAAGGCTTACTCATGTCTCCCCACCACACTGAGAGAAAGCAAAGATGGTGAGATTATCTCAAACAAAACAGGGTTCCCAGGGGGGTGACTCTCACAGGGGAAAGTGCTGACATCATCCTTGAAAAGACTCTGGGTCTCGCCTGTCTTGGCCATGAAACGGGTGAGGGCTCGCTCCACATCTCGCCTCTGAGATGCAGCCTTCTCTCGCAGGACCTGGTAGTCAGACACTGGTTCACGGTATGTCTGGAACAACAGAGACACCAGGCTGAGCCCATGCTGCATTCAGCTCTCCTCAGGCCCTGCCTTGCTGCAGCTATGTCCTGAGAACATGACCTGCTGACTAAGGTTACATGAGGAACAGCATACAAAAGAAAGAGCTCATTTCAGTACAGGAATACTCATTAAGAAAAGTGCGGCCAGGCGTTGGTGACGCACGCCTTTAATCCCAGCACTCGGGAGGCAGAGGTAGGTGGATCTCTGTGAGTTCGAGACCAGCCTGGTCTACAAGAGCTAGTTCCAGGACAGCCTCCAAAGCCACAGAGAAACCCTGTCTCGGGAAAAAAAAAAAGTGCAAATATTTACTACATAGTTGACTATGGCAGCCAGCCTGTGAGTTTGAGGCCAGCCTGGTCTACAAAGCTACACAGAGAAATCCTGTCTCAAAAACAAAAGAATTACAGAATACCATCTTGTTAGCCCATGCCCTTAATCTCAACACCTGAGAGGCAGAGGTAGGAGATCTCAGTGAGGTCAAAGCCAGTCTGGTCTAAAAAGGGAAGGAGGGAGGAAGAGGGGGGAGGGGTAATGATACATACTTGTAATCCCAGCACTTCAGAGGTAGAGGCAGGAGGACCTGAAGCCTGAAGTCATCTTTTTAACTACATACTGAGCTGGAGGCCAACCTGAGCTGTCTACGACTCTGTCTCAAAAAACACCAGTAAAAGAAGCTTCTTACATTATTTTTATTGTCAGGATTTAACATACCATATAAGAGGTATGAATACTATGAATTGATCTGTATTCCCATAAAAAAATGTTTAGATATAGTAAGCTAACTACTGGCATCTCATATGACTTTATTTGTCAACAGAGTCACCAAGATGTCATTGATTAGGAAGAGTCATGAAGTAAGGACAATGGTGTCCTTATGGGAAGACAAAATATTTAATCTGTAGAGGTGGAAAGCCAGCACCACGTGGAGGGGACAGGAAGATTGGAGCGACACATCTATAAACCAAGAAATGCTGGAGAAATGTTGACACACTAAGGCAAGGTGAACACGATTCCCTTACAGGCTTTACAGGGAATATGGCCCTGATAACACCTTGATTTTCAACTTTTGGCCCCCAGGCCTATAAAGTAATACACTTCTATTGCTCTAAGTCAGCTACTTTGTAGCACCTTATCATAGCAACCCCAGGACACTTTGAGGGACTGAAGTCCAGGGCAACTGTATCAATTCCTTCCCTGAGTCCTGTCTCTCTTAGAGACAGCATCTCACTCTGTAGCCCAGGCTGGCCTCACACTCATGGCCACCCTTCTGCCTCAGCCTTCCAAGTGGTGGGATTACAGGACTGAGCCATCATTCCCTATAACAAGATTGCTGCTCTCTAGGGAAAGTCAGAGAACTGAAAGCACTTTCATCTGCAACCTTTCCTCAGCTGGTTTACATCACTCACAGCCCCTGGGTGGCTCCACCACTCACTGGAGTTTTGATGTAGGTGTGGGGATCCGGAAACTCAGGAAAATGGCTGGGGATGTGTGGTGGGTGGGGCCGGTTCTGCCCCGCAGTGAGGGCCTTGGGTGTCACTGGCTGATTAGTCACTGGAGCTGCAACAGAATCACAACTGGTTACTTGTTCAACCCCTGAAGTCTACAGACAATAGTCCTTCTTCAGCCCCACCCCTATCTTCCCACTACACCATGACTCAGCACCTTGTATTTCTATTGATAAAAAGCCATCCATAACCTCTTCAGATCAGCATACAATGCCCGGCCTTGTCAGGTCATCTTGCTTGATATTTCAATCTGTGACATCTGCCTGTAAGCCCCTTGCATCAACAGGAGAGTGGCTGTCACCAAAGTCACTACATAGTTGAACATGCTGAAGTACAATACTCGCATTCAACGGGCTGTTAGTCTTCTTCCCAGAGAGTGAGGACACTAGGAGCAGTGTTTGGTGTAGTCTATGCTTGGCATGCACAAGGCCCTGGGGTCCAATCCCCAGCACACACACGCTGCTCAGAGACCCCAAATAACAAACACTGAGCTGGGGGAAGTGTGGGCTTAACAATTGTGGAGGGGAAGGAAGATGGCACCTTCCACTGCTTCTCTCCAATGCAGGTGGCCAGATGGTTCAGTGGGAAAAGACTTGCCACCAAGCCAATCTGCAGGACCCACATGGTGGAGGGAGACAGCTTCCACCAACTTTTCCTCTAGATGGCCACATGCACACCATGGCATGTGCGTGCACACACATAATAAACAGATTTAATATCTAACATGATGCCAATGCAAAAAAGTGACTTTAAGAAACAAATACAGTGGGGCTGGAGAGATGGCTCAGTGGTTAAGAGCACTGACTGCTCTTCCAGAGGTCCTGAGTTCAATTCCCAGCAACCACATGGTGGCTCACAACCATCTGTTATGAGATCTGGTGCCTCTTCTGGTGTGCAGATATACATGGAAGCAGAATGTTGTATACATAATAAATAAATAAAATTTTAAAAAAGAAAGAAAGAAAGAAACACAGCAGTACCCCCAAGTCCTAAAGACTAAAGCAGTTACTCCTTACTTTAAGGGACCTAGTTATCCTAAAGAGTAAACTTTTTACATAAGGGGATACATGATACATATTTTAGACTTTTGTTTGCTTGTTTCTTAGTCATAGTCCTGCCTATGTATCCCACAAGTGCTAGGATTACAAGAGTAGCCAGTAAGCAGTGGCAGTTCAGATTATGCAAGCCACAAAACCCTGCCTTTATAACATGAAAGCAATCACAGACAAATAAATACAACTGCATGCCAATAAAATTATATTTACAAAAGCAAGCATTGGACTACATTTACCAACCCTGATCTAAAGGAGCAAGAACTTTCATAGTCTTCCTGTATCGTTGCTTGCTTTTCAGGGTTAAAGTACAAGGGCAGTGGTTCAGAGTAGCTTAGAATCCTCCTGTCCAGATAAAACCAGGCTGTGGGTAGCTAACCCACCCCAAAGACTGGAAGGGAGCTTGCAAAGAGCCAACAGCTGCCACTCTGATGCCTGCCCTATTCTCCAACCGAGTCCCACCATAATCACTGTATACTTACTAAGTCCCTGGGTTCAAAGCCACTTACGTGCAGTGATGACCATTCTCTGAGACCGTTTAGCATATGCAGGAAGAGTGTCCACATTGAACCCTAGGGACAAGAAAGCCAATCACTGCGTAGGTCATTGGATACTGAACATGAAAAGCGAAGTTAACAGTGTGAAAAGGGCTGGGCATTGGTGGCGCATGCCTTTAATCCCAGCACTCAGGAGGCAGAGGCAGGAGGATCTCTGTGAGTTCGAAGTCAGCCAGGTCTATAGAGCAAGTTCCAGAACAGGCACCAAAGCAATACAGAGAAACCATGTCTGGGGAGGGGGGGAGAAAAAAGGAAAAGAAAAAGTGAGAAAAGGGGGCTTAAACTCCCAACTGAGCCACTATTCTGCCTCTCAAAAGAAGATCCAGCAGAGCTCCCCAAAAAGGACTCAGGGGGTCTCCAAGATGGGCTCAAAGGATTCTTTCCTCTTAACTTTCTAAACTAAAAGCAAATCAAGGAAAACACGAAGGAATCCATGAGCACTCAGCAGACACCCCAACCCCCAGGCCTCCCTCCCTGCCTAGGGATCCTAACTCAGAGCACTGGATGCTGGAGATGCACTCACCCATTTCAACCAGCGTGACCACGATATCCGACAATGTGGGCTGGGTCCTGGCTGTGTGCTCGCAGTAAGACTTGGCACTTCTCCCGATTTCCGAGATGTCTACAAGAGTCAAAGGCCACGGTTCCTCCAAATTCAATATAGGATTACCAGGTGAGCCAGCAGTTTTGCTCTACATATATAGCTAATGACTAAAGTCAGGGCTCAAACAGGCACTTGTGCACCTCACACACAGCAGCCCAAATTCACAACAATCAGAAAGTGGGAAAGAAACTGACAAATGGACGAATAAACCAACTGGGGTATACACATAAAATGGAGCATTTTCTTTCTTTCTTTCTTTATTGGTTTTTTGAGACAGGGTTTCTCTGTATAGCTTTGGAGCCTATCCTGGCACTCTCTCTGGAGATCTCTCTCTGGAGACCAGGCTGGCCTCGAACTCAGAGATCCGCCTGCCTCTGCCTCTCGAGTGCTGGGATTAAAGGCGTGCACCACCAATGCCCAGCTTCTTTGTTTATTTTTAGACAGGTTCTCAAACTCTATATGTAGCAGAAACTAAATTTGAACTCCTGATATTGCTGCCTCCACCTCCTAAGGGCTAGGATTACAGGTGTGCCCACCCTATCCAACTCTACAATGGAGTAAGTAGTCAGTCTTCAAAAGGAATGACATTCTTCAAAAGGAATGGAATCTATAACATGGATAAACTTTGAAACATTATATTAATGAGATAAGCCAGGCACAAATGATAAATATTTTCAGATTCCATTTATCTGAAGTACAGAGAAAAAGCAAAGCCAAAGTCAGTGATTTAGGTCAATGGTAAGGTACTTCCTACCAATGACCTGAGTTCCATCCCTGGGACTCATATGGTGGAAGGCACACACTGATTCCCACAAGTTATCCTATGACCTCCATATGTGTGCTATGGCATGCATATAGTCCCTATCACACACACAAATAAGTAAGAGTAATTTTTTTTAAGATATGATATATATATATATATATGTGGTGTTTTGAAAGAAAATGGCTCCCAAAGGGAGGGGCACTATTAGAAGGTATGACTTCATTGGAGTAGGTGTGGCCTTGTTGGAGAAAGTGTGTCACTGTGGGAGTGGGCTTTGAGGTCTCCTATGCTCAAGCTACTCCCAGTGTCCAAGTTCACTTCCTGTTGCCTGTACATCAAGATGTACCCAGTACCATGCCTGCCTGCATGCCATTATGGTCCCCAACATGATGATAATGGACTGAACCTCTGAAACTGTAAGGCATCTCAATTAAATGTTTTGCTTTATAAGAGTTATTGTGGTCATGGTGTCTCTTCACAACAAGAGAAACCCTAAGGCAATATATACATATACACACAGAGACATAGAGAAAAAGCAATTCAAAGACATGGGTACAGGTTTCTGGGCATGGGTAATGCTGAGGGTTTCACAGCACTGTGAGTGAGTGTTCACTTACCACCACCACTGCAAATGGTTAAAATGACAATGTAGCTACATATTTTTTTTACCACACATACAAATATCAAAATAAACAGTCTTATTCTACAAAGGACAATTTTTGTTTCTTCTGTCTGAAGGTAAGCCTCAGCCTTCCAAGGAAAAGGGGGCAGTATCTAAGATGGCATTTCTGCAGCACAGTGTTTCTTGGTACTCACAGCTCTGCAGCATCTCTGTCAATGTTTCCACAGATGCTTTCTCAGCACTCTCAAATCCTGCCTCTGTCAGCAAGGAACTCACAACCACTTGCAGAGTCCTCCTCCGGGCCAGATGGTAGTTATCAGCAGGATTAGTGGACTGTTTACTTCCTGATCTCTGAGAATCAGAAGCCCAGAAAGAGGATACTTTTAACCACCAGACAAGGATGCAACCAGAGTTCACACACCATCAGTGGCAAACAGAAGTCACATTACGTAGTTCACTCAAGCTGGCCTAATGCTAGAGAAATAGCCTAGGATGACATTGACATCCTCTAACTTCAACCTCCCAAGCATACAAATTACAGGTGTGTACCAACTTTTGCCTGGATAGCAAAGGTTCTCTTTATCAGTGTTTAATACTTAGACTTCCAGATCTCACCAAATGAGTAATAACTGAGCATCCAAATCCAGAGGCTTCCAATAGGATAAACACTACTTGCTCAAAAAAAAAAATACACGTAGATGTGTGTGTGTTGTGTGTGTTCATGTGAGGCCTGGAGAGGGCGTGGGATTCCATTAAGCTGGAGTTACAGGTGGTTGTGAACTAACCCACGAATTCCGGTGTTCTGGAAGAACAAAAGCGGTCTTAACCACTAAACCATCTCTCCAGCCCCTTCACGTCTTTCTGGAGCAAATTATCAGAATATATACAGAGGTGGTGCACGCCTTTAATGCCAGCACTCGGGAGGCAGAGGCGGGCGGATCTCTGTGAGTTCGAAGAGATATATAGAATTTATACACCTGCTGTCTCTTGTTCCATCTCCACACCACTTCATTAACAAGGAAAATTAAGACAGCAACAACATGGGACGCAAGGGAGGGCTGAACTAGCTTCAAAGGACGGCAAGGAAGGTAAATATTTTGAAAAGGAACTCCCTTCCAACTTTAGCTGGCCAGTAAGAGGATGAAAACAGCCTCTTCAGACCAATCAGAAAGTGTTCCGGGTTCCCACCCTCAACAGGGAACGAGCCAATCATGTCTCAGCTGCACCAATTTAGGAGGCCGCCGCCAAGCAGCGGGGAACGCGTTTGGCCAAAAAGATTTTCCAATCATCAGGTCTCAGAATGGGCTTGGGTTTCTCTGTCCGAGATTGTGGCCCAAACCATGGAAAAGATCCGGAAGACCCAAACCCTTTCGGCTTTACGCCGCGCCTCCCGACCCTTACCGTTCCAGAGCCACCAGGCCCGGCCGCCGTGTCGGCCATCTTGCTCTCGCGTAGTGCGCGTGAGCGCGGGGCACGACGGGACTTGTAGTTGTCGGGTGGGGAGGAGGCGAAGGGCGGGGCCGCAGGTGCTCCGCCTCGCGGTTAAGCTCTGCGAAGTGTGTTTAGGGGGTGGGAGGGGGATGTAGGTCGGAAGACTTTGTGTGAGCCAAGCTTTCGCGGGCCTTTTAGCGGCTATGGCAATGGCTCTGGGAAACTCTCTGTGGGTTGTACGGAGTTAAGAAGAATCTATTTGGCCAGAAGCCAGCCATCTATAACCCTAGCACTTTGAGGCTAAGCCGGAGGATCTGGAGTTCCAGGGCAGTTTGGGACTACAGAAGGAGACCTTCCCTGTAGGAAAAAAAAATAAGTAAAAAGTAAAAACAGGGGCTGGAGAGATGGCTCAGAGGTTAAGAGCACTGTCTGCTCTTCCAGAGGTCCTGAGTTCAATTCCCAGCAACCACATGATGGCGCACAACCATCTGTAATGCGACCTGGCGCCCTCTTCTGGTCTGCATGGATACATGCAGACAAGAACACTATACATAATAAATAAATCTTTAAAAAAAAGTAAAAACAAAGCTATGGATATGAAATAATGTCTCAGAAAGTACACTTAAGAACGTAGTGGGGGGGGGGCCTGGAGAGGTGGCTCAGCAGCTAAGAGCACTGGCTGTTCTTCCAAAGGACCTGGGTTTAATTCCCAACACCCACAACAGCCTACAACTGCCTGTAACTACCTCCAGGGGATCCGACACCTTCACACAGACATACATGCAGGCAAAATACCAATGCACATAAAATAAAAATAAACTATTAATAAAAAAGAACACACTTTTGGGCTGGAGAGACTGCTCAATGGTTAAGAGCACACACTGCTGTTGGAGAGAATCAGAGTTCAAAAATCTCAGCACCCATGTTGAGTGGCTCAGAACTACCTGTGACTTCAGCTTCAAGATGATCTGATACCCTCTTCTGGCTCTGGGGACATTCACACGTACAATCACACACACACACACAAATAAAACAATAAAATTAAGTGCTCTTTTAAAAAATGTATGCATTTGTTTTATGTGTATGGCCATTTTGCCTGGTCTACAAGAGCTAGTTCCAGGACAGCCTCCAAAGCCACAGAGAAACCCTGTCTCGAACCCCCCCCAAAAAAAATTAAAAACAACAAAAACATATTGTGTAGGGGCTGGTGAGGTGGCTCAGCAGTTAAGAGCATTGACTGTTCTTCCAAAAGACCTGGGTTCAATTCTCAGCATCCACATGGCAGGTCACAACTGTCTGTAACTCTAGTTCCAGGGGAATCTGATATCTCCACCCCAATATACATAAAATAAAGGTTAAATAAATTATTTTTTAAAAAAGAAAAAGAAATATTGGGGAACTCTGGACTGGGAATTCTTCAGGAGAAAGCTTGCCTCTTCTTACGCATTCTGGCCTTTCTGGCCGTTACAATCACTGGGCTTGAGTTCCAACACATGTTAGCTCTGACTCTGGCCACGTTCTTACTGTGCCTCCGTGTTCCCACCCCCCCACCCCGCCCCCCGCGCGAGAG